GGAAAATACGCCCCAGACCATCTCTTTGGGTCAAACTGGTCCATTAGTTCAGCTCCGACCGGCAAAGTTCCTCGTAGACCCGCCATATTCAGTTTAATGTCCACCGTAAATCGGTTTGGACCTCCACTTAGTTTCCCTAAGTGAGGGCTTAGCCAACGACACATGCCTTTGGGGGCGAGAATGGACATGTCTATGGGCATTATCGGTCTTAGTAAGAATCTGACCCTCCCGAAAAAGGGAATTGATCTATGGTCGATTTTTTCAGAATTTGATGCATAAGTAGAGCAAATGCAATTTGAACTCTCCACACCAACATTAAGTGGTTCCTTTCCTGTCTGTATGATACTACATTAGATGCCTTCACCACACCATAAGAATTATTTCTAGCTAAGTTAATAATTGTATCATGTATCGAACAAGTAAATTACAATATTAACCTCCATAATCTTAATTTCTCTACCCTTTCATTCAAGACTAATTAAGATGCTTAATTTTTTTGGTACGACACCGATCAATCATACAAATGAAATTATTATATGTATCAATCATTATCTTTAAACATTCAATGATCTAAATAACATTTCAAAGTTGGAAGCGTTTCGTCCACTCAAAAACTCATTTCATACGTAATTTCTGATGTAAATACACATGAAACTTTATTTGGGTTTAAACCTCACCAAAGATGAGGATTGTTTGTAAGTATTTGCAGTAAATAAATATTATATACCTAAAAAATTATGTTTTATCCCCATGCAGTTATCAGGACACCTCTTATCAACATTCGTTTATGGGGTCCCTTCTCATAATCAAGGATAGAATTGGAAATTAGGCACTTTTCAAATTCGAAACTTATTTTGGGACAAATTAAAATACAAATGTGGACACTTATTTTGGGACAAGGGGAGTATTATGCCATGTCTATTTTGTTTCCTACCATTTTATTTACTATTTAGGTGACAATGTTGTTGGTGCTGCGAATGTAGAGATGAAGGTGAACAGGGCAATGGCAGCGACTAACAGGGCATCCAATGTAGCAAGGGTGTCACCAGTTATCTAGAATTTCAATGGTACCAAATTTGGTGGTATATTTTATTATCATCATTGACAAAGAAGACAATGATATAAATACAAGGAATATAGAAAAAATAAGGAAGGCCCTAAAAAATAGGAGATAATATTAATCTAGGAGATAAGTGATCTAAGAGATAATATTAATCTAGGAGATAAGGAATGGATTTAAAGGAATCTTTTACTCCCCCTCAAGGTGGAGCATGTAAATCTTTCATGCCCAACTTGTCGAGTAGGCATCGTAATTGTTGCGCTCCCAACGCCTTTGTGAATAAGTCCGCGATCTGCATTTTGGAATTAATGTGCATGGGTTGAATTTCTTGTATCTCTACTCTTTCTCGAACAAAATAGCAGTCCATTTCAACATGTTTAGTTCGTTCATGAAACACCGGGTTATTAGCAATGTGTCAGGCTGCTTGGTTATCACAAAACAAAGGTGTTGGACTGGTGGGATTTATTTCTAGCTCCTTGAGGAGCCAACGCATCCATAAGATCTCACTAACTGTGGAAGCCATGGCTCTATATTCTGCCTCCACCGAAGAGCGAGATACCATAGACTGCTTCTTAGATTTCCATGATATAGGAGCACCACCTAAAAGAAGAAGATACCCCGTTCTGGATCGCCTAGTATAGGGACAACCGAGCCAGTCAGAGTCACAGTAAGCAACGAGTTCGGTGCCACTGTTTCGTGGTAGCAGAATGCCTCGTCCCGGGGTAGCTTTAAGATATCGTAAAACTCTAGTTGCTGCATCCATATGGTTTTGTCGTGGATCGGCGACAAATTGACTTAGAACGTTTACAGAGTACGCAATGTCCGGTCTAGTAGCTTGCAAGTACAACAATCTTCCTACCATCCGTCGGTGTTGGTTAGCATCGACTTGTGGCTCCTCGTCACCTTTATCCAACTTCAAGTTCCAAAATGTCTAAAGTATATTTCCTTTGACTTAAGACAAGTCCATCGCGCGTTCGCGCTACTTCAATTCCAAGGAAATACTTTAGCTCACCAAGATCTTTAATGCTAAATTTCTCGTCAAGATGGGTCTTGGTTTGTTGTATTTTTACCGGATCATTCCCCACAATGATAACATCATCTACATAGATGAGGGCTGCCACAAAGGTGTTTTGTTGTTTGTATGTGAAAAGAGAATGATCCGCCTTAGATTGTTTGAAACCAAGTGCAAGCAGAACGGTAGTGAACTTTTGATACCAATTTCTTGAGGCTTGTTTTAAGCCGTACAGAGACTTCCGGAGTCGACAAACCCGGGTTTCATTTTCCTTGAAGAAGCCTTGTGGAATTTTCATGTAAACTTCTTCGTTCAAATCTCCATGTAAGAATGCGTTATTTACGTCGAGCTGGTGAACAATCCAATCTCTTTTGGAAGCCACAACTAGTAACGTTCTAACAGTAACCAACTTTGCAACCGGGGTAAAAGTGTCATGAAAATCTACTCCTTCCATTTGCGTGAACCCTTTGGCAACAAGACGGGCTTTGTATCTCTCGATTTCTCCGTTGGGCTTGTATTTTATCTTGTAGACCCACTTGGAGTCTATGGCACGTTTCCCTTCAGGTAACATTTCGAGAGTCCATGTCCCATTTTCTTCAAGCGCTTGTATCTCTTTCTTCATGGCTTCTTTCCATTTATCATTCTGCATGGCTTGTTTGAAGGATTTTGGCTCATCATTTGAAGTGATGGCCGCTAGAAGCGCCTTGTGAGAATTAGAGAACTTATCATATGAAAGGAAATTAGAGATAGGGTGTACCGTTGAGGTTCCTTGATTAGGTGCGGGTTGTGCATGGTCAACCGATGGGGGGAGCTTACAATGAAATCGTTAAGATGCTTTGGCTGTGTGATATTTCTTCTGGTCCTAGTCTCCACGGTTTCGGTGCTCGTCTATTCATTTGGTACCTGGTAGGCCGGTTCTTCATTTGGGAAGGTGGTTGTCGGAGGTTCTTGACTCAAGTCTTCCGGTGAGCCATGATCAATGTTCTCATCCAATGAGCTTTCGGCATGATTTCCAACAGCTGGGCTTTGATCGGAATTTTCGGTCAGATCTTCAATTTGGATGGATCCGTGAGATCTCCCATTTTGTTCAGATTGAAAAGTTTCCTTGACTAACCCATTGGAAAAGATATAACCCTCATTCATTGTGTTGTCATTTTGTGAAGTGGTAGCAAAAGGGTAGTCTTCTTCAAAAAATTTAACATCTCTAGAAACTATTATTTTTGTGCTTTCTATGTCATAAATTTTATACCCTTTTGTGCCTTGGGGATAACCCAAAAAAACCCCAGGTCTCCCCCTTGCTTCGAACTTGTCTCCTCTCGTCTCATTGTTTCTAAAATAAGCGAGACAACCAAAAACCCTCATATGTTCGTACTCCGGTTTTTGGTTAAACATTAATTCATACGGGGTTTTATTGTCAATAGCTCTAGAGGGCAATCGATTGATAACGTAACCAGCCGTTAGAACACGTTCCCCCCAAAAAAATTAGGCAGACCTGCGTCAAGTTTTAATGCCCGAGTCGTTTCAAGAAGATGTCTATGCTTACGTTCCACCACCCCGTTTTATTGCGGGGTGTGTGGGCAAGTAGTTTCAAGTAAATTTCCCTTTTGAGCATAAAAATCAGCCATAAGACTTGATGTGAACTCGCCACCATTGTCACATTTGATCCTCTTGATGGGTTTTCCGAATTGTACCTCCACCATTTTATGAAAATCGATTAAACATTTGCTAGCTTCGTGTTTATGTTTAATGAGAAAAACCCATACAGATCTACGAAAATCAACTACAATGGTGAGAAAATAATTTGCTCGAGAATAAGAAGGAGTGCGATATTTACCCCAAATGTCACAATTTATCAACTTGAAACAATTTTTGGTCTTGATAGTGCTAATGGGAAAATGTGATCTCGTGTGTTTTGCTTTCGGACAAGAATCACAAATTTTATTTTTACCCTTAAAAGAAAAACTCTTAAGAAAATCTACTTGAGCAAGTTTATTTTCGGATGCATGTCCCAATCTTGTGTGCCATGTATCAATGGTCGTCATCATTGCCTTCCTTTCACCTTCAAATATTCCCATTCGGTACAGACCTCTTGTGCAATTACCCGCACCAATCAAGTCCCTTGAGCGCAACCCCTGCATAACACAAAAGTCAGAAAAGAAGGTCACTGCACATTGAAGGTTCTTCGTCAATTGGCTAACGGATAATAAATTGCAGTTAAAAGCCGGAACATGTAGGAACCCCTCTTATTTTGGCTCCTCCTGGTAGAGTGTAATCACCTCTTCCCTCGACGGGAACGGCTTCACCATTTGGCATAATAACAAGGACTTCACAAGGAACTTTTCTTTTATTATCAAGGATGTTGGTTCTGTAGGTATGTGTTCGGTAGCCCCCGAGTCCACAACCCAATCCCCGTCTTGGTTTAACTTACCTGCCATGTTAGCTTCTGGTTGAACTTCTTTGTTGGTGACTTCGTTGAAGTTTGCAAAATACTTCAAGAAGGCTTCATATTGTTCATTAGTGAGGTCGGGTATATGACTTGACTTGGTTTCGATGCATGCTGCCCTTGCTTTTCCTTTGTCACCCTTTGTTTTTCCTGGCCACCATTCCGGATACCCTATTCTCTTGAAACACCCGTCTCGACTGTGCCCGTTTTTGCCATAAAAACTGCAGTTTTCCACCTCTTCACCCCGTTTTGCTCCCCTTTGATTGTACCTATCTCGTTGTTGATTCTGGCCACCTTCATGTCGCGTGGGTACGTAGGCCTTAAAAGCAGCAGCATCTGATGAGGCTTTCTTATCGGCTGAGATGCTTCTTTGTCGTTCGTCTTCTGCGACAAGGTGGTAGGCTGTTCCCAAAGCCGGTATCGGTTGCATTGCCAGGATATGTGTTTTAATTACAGTGAATTCAGCATCTAGACCCATTAGGAATTCATATAACTTTTCTTTTTTCTTGATGCTCGGTCAATCGCTTTCCAAGCCCACAGGTGCACCTGTGGTAAGTGCAATGGGGTGTGGGTAGGACAGATTGACTTTCATTCCAGAGACCTCGAAGCTTCGTGTAATAAGTTGATACGAAGGTTCCATCTTGCTGTGTAGAGACGATTTGTTGTTTCAATTCGTACGCCCTAGGCGCACTTTCCTTGCCAAACCTTTCACGAAGATCAGACAAGATTTCTGAAGCCGTGTTCGCATGCTTCACACTGCTTCGTATGTTCTTTTCCATGGTCGTGGTGAGCCATCCCTTCACCATAGCATCACATCGCATCCATGCCATGTGATTAGAGGACGTCTTATCGGGCTTCTTAATAGTGCCATCGATGAACCCTACTTTGTTTTTGGCGAATAGAAAGTTCAGCATCTCTGTGACCAATCGCCATAATTGTTGTATGTGAGAACGTCATTGACGTGCATTTGCCTCGGGTAATCCGAGGCATGTATGTAATAGGGAGAGTTCGAGTTAGAGGCGCTCCCGTCACCCCCTTCCTTCGGGTCCTTCTCGGTAGACATGGTGGCTGCCGATTAGGTTTTGATAATTCTCTTAGAATCGCTCTGATACCATCTAGAAATTCAATGGTACCAAATTTGGTGGTATATTTTATTATCATCATTGACAAAGAAGACAATGATATAAATACAAGGAATATAGAAAAAATAAGGAAGGCCCTAAAAAATAGAAGATAATATTAATCTAGGAGATAAGTGATTCTAAGAGATAATATTAATCTAGGAGATAAGGAATGGATTTAAAGGAATCATTTAAGTTATGGCAGTCCAAAGACGTATGCACCACCAACATTATCCAACGTTGCTCACCGTGTGAAGTTTTGTATAAGGGTGGGCTTTAAAAAGTTCTAAGAAAGTTTAAGCTAAATAGATCAAATTTCGGATGGAATCCCTATTCAATAATCTACCAATTATTAATGGAAATACACAATTTCCTCTGATCCTATCAAACAAAATTGAAAGCATGCAATCACAAAAGGAAAAACACAGTATTGCATCCAACAGGAGCACAATAGGTCCAACTTGCAAATAACCAAATCAAACTAACCTCGAGGTCCCTACATCCAATCTGCCCTTCAGCTCCATATGAGTTAAAAAGAACTCAACAAATTTCCTGGTCAAATAATGAAACCTACAATCACTTAAACATAGAACAAATTCAGTCAATGGTGAAAGAAAGTAGTTAGATTGTAACTACAAAATGGACAATTAACAATAATCTTAGCAACAATTCATACCTTGCCCCAAAATCCTTATTGTAACCAGAGTTCTTATCAACAAAGAGGATGAGACTCCAACAAATAAAGGAAATCCGGTAAATCAAATAGCAATCATAAGAGCATCATAACATTATAGAACAGCGGGAAGGAGACACCATTAAGCAATTATACCTTATAGTTCATACCTAAATTAGAATTCAAAATGTATTCTTCTGTCTATAGGTAAATCCCATTTTCTTCAAAGCAATTTCTTTCACTGATTTAACCACTACAAAAGTTTTGGGTTGGTTTTCTCCCATCACTATCTTTGATTTCATAAAAAAAAAACCTTTCGAATTTACATGATCCTTGAATTGTGTTAATCTTCACTCAATTTTTCAAACTGGGATTTATGACTAGCATTATCTATATCATATTGGCTACTACTCCCTCCGTCCCAAAATAAACATCCACAATGAAAAATACACAATTTTAGAAATGTGTAATTATTACAATTTTTAATTAACTAATAACAGTTCTACTCTTATTAATAGGGGACTCGCTTCTCATAATTAAGAGTATAATTGGATATTAGACACTTTTGAAATTGGATACTTATTTTGGGACAAATAAAAATTGAAATGTGGACACTTATTTTGGGACAGAGAGAGTATTATGCCATGTCTATTTTGTTTCCTACCATTTTATTTACTCTTCAGGTGACAATGTTGAAAGTGAACAGGGCAATGGCAGCGGCTAACAGGGTAGCCGAAGCAGCAAGGGTGCCGCAATTAAGACAGTCCAGAGTCGTGTGCAACACCAAAATGATCAAATACCTATAAGTATTGGGTTGGTTTTCATTATTATCTTCACTCAATTTCCCAAACTAAAGTTCTTCCCTAGAAGTTGGATCTTTCTTGATGGTAGCTTTTTTATTTACTCGATTGACCCCTAGTTGGTTAAAGGCTGATTAAGTGAATTTTGAAATTGGTTAGTCAATTGTTAGGTCATTGGTTACATCAAATACTTCAATAATTTTTGTCAATGATTACTGAGAATTACTAAATATCAACAGGAGTAAATATTCTTTATAATGTGTAGAATTTGAACTTTACCATAATGGATATTACATGCAACTTATTAGTCTACTTGGTTTAACCAAATCAGACTAACCTCAAGGTCCCTACATCCAATCTCCCCCTTCATACCCAAATATAATATTTATTACAAACATGTTTATAAGTTCATACATAAACACCAAATTGATACCTCTGTAACACCTAAAAATCATGGTGTAGTAGTGTATGCAGACATCTGGAAGATCCAAAAAAACACCAATTTTTTACAGCGTTGCTAGAGGAGGAATGGAGAGGATCTTCTAAGTTCATACATAAACACCAAATTGGTACCTCTGTAACACCCAAAGATCATGGTGCAGTAGTGTTTGCAGACATCTGGAAGATCGAAAAAACACTAATTTTTCACAACACAACATTGCTAGCGGAGGAATGGAGAAGATCTTCTAAGTTCATAAATAAACACCAAATTGGAACCTCTGTAACACCCAAAAATCATGGTACAGCAGTGTATGCAGACATCTGGAAGATAAAAAAAAACACCAATTTTTCACAGCATTGCTAGCACAGGAATGGAGAAGATCTTCTAAGTTCATACATGAACACCAAATTGGCATCCACCCCGATTTCTCACGACAATTTCACACACGCTAATGCATGATGAGCCATGCGCTCAATAAACCCCCTCCCATTCTTATAGAATATATATGTGTGTGCGTGTGTTTGTGTATGTGTATGTGTGAGAAAGAGATATTTATTATACAATCTTTTACATTTGTACAACCAATGTAACATAATTTCAACCGTCCATTTAATTTGATGAATATATGATTTCATAAATATATTGATTGTTTCTTTATATAAACCATTGATAATAATTAATGAACTTTAGTCATCTTTCATAAATTTTCAAATCATAATAAATGAACTCTCATCATTTTCATAATTATTTCAATTAATTGAGTTACATTAGTTATACAAATGTGATGAGTTGCATTTGAAACGTCCTATATATATATAGGGTCTACTTCTTTTGTTAACCAAACAATTAATGTTAACTTTGTTGGCCGATGCATTTTCGTTTTTTTCATTATTGATACCACATTTCTTAAATATTTTATTTAATTAATTATTACATTCCCTAGATATCACATTAATTAATTATCTTATTCACTTAATTGTTTCACCTATGAAATTTCTTGTTTCTCCTATAAACTTGTTTAAACTTCTTAATTATTTCATTCACTTTCTGGTTTCACCTAAGTTTTAGATAAAAATTATTGTTTTATATTCTGGTTTCATTTACGAACTTTAAATAAAAATTATTTTTTTCATTTTCTGGTTTTACCTATGAACTTTAATTATATGGTTCCATCTATGAATTTTAAATAAAAATCATTGTTTCACTACTTGGTTTCACCTATGAACTTTAAAAAAAATCATTTCACTTTCTAGTTTCACCTATGAAAGTTGATTATTCAGTTTCACCTATGAACTTTGATTATTCGCTTTCACCCATGAACTTTGATTATTCGGTTTCACCCATGAATTTTAAACAAAAACCATTGTTTGATATTTTGTTTCACCTATAAACTTCTTGATTTTGCCTTTAAACAAAAACTATTTGAATAATACTTGAAGGGTACCCGTGCAATGCAGCAAGATATATCTGGATTTTAATGTTTCATTTTGTTCATTTTCTTTGTCGATATAATACGATTTTACGTGATTTTAGAAAACGATAATATTTTTATTTTTGAACGAAATATAAATTTGAAAAAAATGTATCGATATTTTTATTATAATTTAATTTAGATTTGATAATAAAGTAATTTATTTTTGTTTAATAATATAATATTTTATAAAGATAATAATTAAGTATTCTGTTAGAATTCAATGATTATCCTAATTATATTTTAGATTTTTTATATTTAAAATGAGATGTTTATCTTGTATTTGAATATGTTTATCTGTAGTTAATTATACGAATTGAAAAATAAAGCTTTAATAAATTGTACGTATGCATAATTTACTTGTAATATTGAATTTTTAGTAATATGCATCAATATACAGTACTTTGTGTATAAAATATTGTTTTTAAAAGTTTTTGTCAAATGTTTTATAATATAGTATAGATTATTGATTATTTAAAAAAAATAAAATATGATTATCTTTCTAAAATAAAAAGTCATTTAAATATTATTATTGATTATCTTCTAAAATAATATTATCTTCCAAAAATAAAAACAATTTTTTTTTGTAAAAATGTCCTTCATTTAATACCAATTAACTTATTTCCTTTTTTATCAGATTATAACCTCCCACTTAATCATTACAAAAATGAATGGCTCAGATCGATTAACAAAGTTAATACTATTTACCTGGTTAACAAATGATTGTGCCCATATATATATATATATATATGTGTGTGTGTGTGTGTATGTATGTATGTATGTATGTATGTATGTATGTATAGAGAGAGAGAGAGGCGGGTTAGATTACACACTGCCCGATTCGTGAAAACTTTGCAAACAATTTTCGACCAATAGTAAATTTTTGTTTTTTTTTAATTTTAATAACAAATGATATAATGGTCATTTGATTGTATATTGGTTAATATTGGAATGTAATAATTATTCTTAATATACCACCAAATGTTTTTAATATAAAATTATTATCATTGATAGTTTTTATTATTTTATTAAATTATACTCCTAAAATATGAATTGTACAACTATACTTCTAAAATCAGTTTGATTAGAAATAATTAACAGTGTGATACTCTTCATGAAATAATTTCATATATCATTGTAGGTGACAAAGAGTCATGTTATTCATTCAATAAACAGTGTAAATCAATTATTTTTAATATAAAATTATTACCATTAATAGTTATATTATTTTATTAAATTATACTCCTAAAATATGAATTGTAAAAGAAGTGCAATATGAAATTTGATTTTGTTTCATTGACCAAATATATGTAGCTTGAGTAATGAAACGAATGTCATGTTCAATAGTGATCATGGACACAATTTCACCGATGAATTTAATTTATTAATATTCTGAAACGTTTTATG